GCCTATCTTATCTAGATAGACCTGCAGAGGTAATAATATGCACACAAAAACAAGACAGAGCAAAACAAAACAACAACAAAAAGAAAAACCTGTAAATAGTTCAAGATCTGTTAGTTGACCTTTAGGAGTGTTTTCCGGTGGAGTCTGATGGGGTGCCACACCCTGGTCCCAAAGTCTGTTTTTGGTATTCCCTGGGGACTTCTTTGCTCTCTTCCCCTTGCTGTTCTGTTGCACACCCTTAGTGTTTTGCCTCGGTGTGGTGGGGTCAGATCGGTGCAATTCCCACACTGTCTACAGTGTTGTTCCCTATAGCGCTATGGGTCAGTGAGGGACATCATGTCTCACAATGGGTCCGGCCCTGTGGTCCTCTCTGTGCATTGACTGCTGGAATATCGTCCTCAGGGCTTGGTGGGCCAGGATGTGCCCCACTCTCTCTTCTTCCCCCTTCATTTGCTCCTGTGTGCTCTGATCATACATGTCCCTCTCCCCAAGACGTAGCTTCAGTGCTGTCCTCTGAAGTGAGTTCTGCGGGGAGGGGAGACTGTCCCAGGTAACATTTTTATTCATTCATTCATTCAGTAAATATTTATTGAGCCTAGATGATGTGCCAGCTTCTACAGCACTTGGGAGACACCAGTAACCAAGATAGGCTAAGTCATACATTGTATTGAGAGAGTTTGAAATAAACTGGAAAAAGAATTGATCTCAAATAATATTAAGGAATGCTGTTGAGCAGCAAGAAAGAAAGCCCCCAATGCGATGGGTTCATAGAGTGGCTGCAACAATTGGGTCAAACATAACGCTTGGGAGGACGTCCCAGGGCAGGGCAGTGTGCGTAAGAATGGAAACCTAATGGCTCCCGTACCAGGAACAACAGCAGCAATGCGGTGGGGTGCTTCTGACAGGCTAGGCCGCAAGCTCTGTGTGTCTCTTCAAAACTTTGATGTTGAGATTTAACTCTGTGACTGTGGCAGCTACATAATCTTGTGTCAACTTGAGACTATTATGAGTGAAGGGGTGGGGTTTAGCCTGTCAATCAGGGCACAGCTTGATGGCCTTGTTTGGAGACGCGATGGAGATAAATAGCTCGAAGGAGGCCAGAAACAGACAGACTCTCTGCTTTGTCTTTCCTGCTGATAAGACACATGGAGCTAGCTAGAGCCCTGGAGCTGGAGGAGCCACGTGGAGACCCACACCAGCGCTGAGATACTTCCACTGCCACTGGCCTGTGATCTCCCTGCAATCAACATCATTGCATGTGTTGTGTGAGTCTGAAGATGAATTTTTAGACTGGTATTGGACATATGGGCTAATACCAGATTTATAGACTTAATCTGGACTGGGCTGGGATGTTTCCTTAATATACAAATACTCTTTGATATAAAGCTCTCTGTTACACAAGTCTACCCAAACTAACACAGTGACTGTGGCGATATGTTCAGTGCAAAAGATATACATAAAGATGGATGAATCCTAGTCCCTATCCTGTGGAACTTCCAGTCTGTTCATTATTATCTGTAAAACTTGTATATCTTTTTATTCCTCTGATTATCAGAACCGCTCCTGTGCAGAATCTGAGAACTGCACGTTTGCAAACAGATTTTCTGTCTCCTCCGTGCCA